AGTATTTACTGCAGATGTCTGGGAGCTATTAAGCGTCTTGAAGTGATTAAATAAGTCCTTTTCGTTTGCTCGACAGGAGTTTGCATTTTTTGCTTTGCCTACATTAAAAAGTTGTTTCAACGGGTACGTGCCGCCCTATAGGGTATGGTTTTTCTGCTTTTGGGTCTGGGGTAGGGTATCATTTTTTGACATTTTGTCTGGGATAGGGTGTCATTTTATTCTGGGATAGGGTTAACGATTTGGTCGTTTTTGTCTGGCGAATAGGCTACGCTTTCTACCGACACAAAAACAATAAAAACGTTAGTAAATATTGATTGCAATCGCTTGTAAGACCGTATTTTCCGGCTTTTAGTCTGGGATAGGGTGTACAATTCTTAGTTTTAGTTTGGGGTAGGGTATGTAAAATCAAAATTTTAGGTCTGGGATAGGGTCAGGGTTTTGAGGTCCTGGCGGCACACCCCTACCCAAGTTGGGGTGGTAGTACCCCCCCCCCCGGGGGTGGGTGGGTGTCCGTAGAAACACATATACATTTTTTTAGCACACTTGCAAACTATGTTTTCACTTCAGAGGTGCTGGATACCGACGGGGTAATCTCACCCCTTCCTCTAAATCAGTTCCCGTAAGGTTATCCCTTGGAAAGCCTACTCTGCTAGCTACTACTCTTTAGTGTAATCATTCCTTACTTTATTTTATCAAATGTTCCTATTACAGTTTGTACATTACTCTTCTCGATAAGAGGACATATCCGTGTCACCGTAATAAATTGCTTATTATTATTTATTTATAATTATATTTTTGAGGGGATTACTGAAACGCTGAAATGGCCGGATTTTTAAAAATGCTATAGGGAATGTGGCTAGTTTGCAGCTTGGAGACAACATTTCATTGTTTTGTTTCTTGTCTTTCATTTAAAATTCTAAAAATATTGACTCCTTTTTCTGCTTTAAAAGTCTTTTTAATTCTTGTGAAGGTAGTATTCAAGGCTTCATGAAACACATGCACTGAACGAGAGGAGATGCCTTTTAGTTCTTTTTATTTTTTTTGACTATCCCGTCGCGGTACCAATGTGATGTCTTCAGTATAAGGAAGTATCGTAAAGTGATGTAACTTTGATAGAATCTTTGAATAACTTTATTGTTGCTTCTTCCCAGGGATAAAATACAACCTAGCAGAAAGAAGAAGCAGAAAAAAATAAGATAAAGTAAACAGACAAAAAAGATTAGGTATTTTCTATGATAAACGTGCAGTAATACACTGGATTGCGACTGGCTTACGAGTGTTCCAACCATACAATTTATTTACGGTTTTCCTTTTATTTACTCACAGTTTTCGCGTTCCTTGTTTGCAAAAACCCATTTTCCGAGAATCGGCCTTTAAGTGCTCCTGAAGAAAGCCATACAAAAGGTGTTGGAAACTTGGCAAAGACGTCGAAAACTATCTCACTCTTTGAAGCTTGTTTTACATTCGTTACCTAAACAAGAAAACCTTGAATGAATTAGAAGGTTTGAAAACAAAGAAATAAAATCCCACAAACATTTCAAACCTTGAGTTTTGGATTTTGTAACCCAATTGCTTTTGATAGACTTGCAAGATAAAATATATTAATTGGCCCCAACGTTTTATGCGTGCTTTCGTCTTCCAGTGTCAAGGTTAAGAAGCATTCCTCTCGACTTGGACACGAGCTCTCCTTCAACATCGTTGTAACTGGCGTAGATAATACCAACAACTAAAAACGATATAAAAAAATAGTTTTATATAGTTGTTTCAGTGAAAGTTTAAAAGGGTGTCGTACTTGGAAGCGAAAATTTATTTTTTTGAACACTGAAAGACTCAATTTGTTACTGGTTTAGATGGGAAGCCATTTTAGAGTTTTTATACGCTACGATTTGTCCGAGTGGATTTTACTTACCGAATTCTGTGGTTTAACTGAAAAATTTTTTTTTCTTTGATGAACAATCTTAAAGGAACTCCACTTTTGCACTGAGATTGTCAAGACACCATTTTCTATGGGCTATGAAACGAAAGAAGAGATTCAATATTTTAATATATTTGTATACATTCGACTTATGAACATCGTTTTCGCATAGTTAAATGGCTTCCTTTGGCAAATGAAATACTGTTATTGAACTTACTTTTTGAAGGTCGGATACGACAAAGAAACGTAGTGACTGGTTTTGTTCGTAAACAGAAGATATTACTGGACTGAAAAAGTCTTTAGCAAAATAGTGTAGAACCTAAAAAAATATATATATCAATAAATAGAAGAATGTATATACGACCGATCTCGACAACCCCATCTGACTACAGTACAAGGGAAACAAAAACTTTAAGAAGTAAAAATAGTCACTAATGCTACTAAAGCCTTTTTTTTCTTCTATCGATTACCTTCCATTTTCCTCCGTACTCCAAAGACGACCAGGAGGGTGATTGCCAAATGCTGTTAAGTCTACAAGAAGAAGGGAAGGTTGAAAACCCAAAACTGAAAAGAACGCACTAGTTATATGATCAGACAAAGTTACTTACTGCCAGTAAATTGCTCCCATGGTTCTTCCTTGACCCTTGCAAAAAACATAAATAAATGAATTGAAAAATGAAATGAAATTTTAAAAAAATTTAAAGCAAAGATAATGATATATTATAATATCTTACATGCATGATAATAATATTACAATAACGATGATACATTGATAAGCGGTGACACAGGATGATGATCATGTTGTTGGTGTTGAGGATGATGATGATAAGATTAGAGAGAGAAGTTTCATTACCTTGATAAGTTGGCTTTGTAATCGTCTGTAGTGCTCAGATTCTGCTTTTATACACATTGCTTGAGCAACCTAAGACACAAACGAGAGGTGAAGAATGCGGCTGAACCACCCAGGATTGCATTTTGGGGCTGTGGACGCGTCACTTCGACTAAGTTAAATATGCCAAAACGTGTGTTTTCTTTTTTTAAATAGTAAAGAAATGGCCCAGAAACATAAACCAAACATTTTAGTGGCTTCAACGTCACTCAAAGAGATAATTTATTCATCCCATAAGAATTTTGAACAAACTTGTGAGCTTCAAGTCAAAAGTGCCAAAATGGGTGTTTTCTTTCTCTAAATAGTAAAAAAAAAAAAAATGGTCCAGAAAATTAGAATTTAGTTTTCTAAAACAAGTTATCTATGAACTGGAGAAGTAAATTACGGATTTGTTAGAGAAAAA